TAAACACAAATGACAAACCCGCATGAAGCAACTTTGATAGTATATAACAAAAATTAACTAAAAAGACAAGAATTAGAGAATTAATTATAATAATCAATTTCTCTTAGTATCTTACCTTACAAAAGGAATTCCTTGTTTCTGACAAAAGCCATGAAGAGCAGTGGGCTTATTGGCATCTTTACAGGACATAAAGCCAGCAATAAAAAGAATGCCTGGACTATTTTGCCCTGATGACTTCTTGTATGCAATGCGACGCTCTGTGCCATCCTGGTTATCCGTCACCTATGGAATGAGGTTGGTTTCATAATAACAGAGCAAGTATTAAATCTCAATATATCACCATATAACTGGGCAAACAGATACATAAACAGATAGATAGACAGACAGACACATAGATAAGTAAATAGATAGATAAATACATAAATGTATATATGGATATAAATAGATATATGGATAGACAGATGGATTAGCAGACACATATAGATGTAAATATACAGAGAGACAGATAGAGGCATACATACTCATATTCTTGTTTCTGATCATGAATATATCTATCAAATTTTAAAACACACACACACACACACAGATATATGGCAAACGTTTACAAGGTAGGCGAGAGTAGCTTTCAAGATGTCTTCTTGTAATTATATTACCTGTGTCCTGTGCAAATCTACTTGAAACTTGCTCTTATTCATGATAGATGGAATATGCTCTCGTGTCCAATCCATCAGTGTCTCAGGGTTAAGTGTTAGGTTCAAAATTCACAAAAAATATAATTATTTGTACAGTGTTGATAACAAGGAAATAAAATTTAGAAAATCACTGGGCCAGTGTTGCAGCCTTGACATATCCCTCTCAAGCTTCTCCCATTCCCTCTTGTCATATGCTAATCTTTTCCACACTAGTCTTATATCCTCCCTTCTTCCTGTCACTTTTTCTTCCATATCCTCTTCTGTCTGCCCCTTTTTCTATTTCACACTAGTGAATCCCTCCATGATATTCTTTGACTATCTATTGTCATACAGTCTGGATAAATGTCCTGCTAATCTCCAATTGGCTTCTACTCAGTTTATAAGCATATGGCTTCCTTCACAATTCTACATGCTTAATTATATTTTTTAAGTGATATCTAGTATTTTTCTCTTCATGATTGAGGCAATAATCAAAGATATATTGCCAGGAAAATCTACAAACTCTATCTTGCCAGCATATACCTTGTAATGCTCTGTTGGCCTTTGCCAGACAGTCAAATGTACAGAGTCTGTGGCAGATGGAAAAGAGAGGTGTATGAGTCTAAGATTAATGCACATGTATATTGTAAACATTTAGATACCATATATAATGAAACAATAAGAAACAAAGTTGAGTTACCTTCAGAAATTCAGTCTCTGACTGAGCATCAATGGGTGTTGCATCTATCAAATCACTCATATTGGAGAATGGCTGGTCTACAGATGTTTAGTGGGGGGTGAAATTCTTGATACCCAGGACAACTGAAATGAAAAATGCAAAGATATGAAAATGTTTACCATATGAAAACCCTATGAAAACTTGATCGATATACACTAAACTATACCATATATAGTGACTCCATACTAAAAATACTGAATAATAAAAATATTGCAATAACATATGGAGAAAATTATATTTCTTTCACCACTTACTGGGATAATTAAACATTTTGTTTCAAAAGCAAATTGTATGCAAAAGATAATATTATAGAAGGACAGGAGACATCTGGTGATTTTTATTGTAACCTGCATGTGTGAGTATACATGGCAAAAGGTACTTCATGGCTCTCTGATGATGCAATGAAACTGAAATGTATTGGGATATTAAAATAACATTGTGAATTGATCTAGATCAATAGCAAGAAGCTATAATGGGGCTTTCTGAAATATCCAACTTTAAAAGAGAAAACCATAAATCAAGAATCAAAGATCACACAGTGAAAAAAACTAAATTAATCCCTTTACAACATATAAATATCTTTAGCTATAAAAATCAATCAGATACGAGTGACGGCAAGACCACAATCACTTATCAATGATATACCTATAGGCTCAAGCTCTCACTTTGATCT